ACTTGTTCTATTTGTGAAGAAGAAGGATAGCACTATGAGGATGTGTATTGATTATAGGCAGTTGAACAAAGTCACAATCAATAATAAGTATCCTTTGTCTCGTATTGATGATTTATTTGACCAGCTTCAGGGAGCGAGGTTGTTCTCCAAGATTGATCTTAGGTCAGGGTATAACCAGTTGAAGATTAGGGACTCGAACATTCTTAAGATAGCTTTCAGGTCTCGATATGGTCATTATGAGTTCCTTATGATGTCTTTTGGGCTGACCAATGTCCCAACAGCGTTCATGCATTTGATGAACAGCGTGTTCCGGCCCTATCTCGACTCATTTGTTATTTTACTCATTGATGATATCCTGGTGTACTCTCGTAGCCAGGAGGAGCACGCAGAGTATTTGAGGGTTGTATTGCAGCGGTTGAGGGAGGAGAAACTTTATGCAAAGTTCTCCAAGTATGAGTTCTGGCTCAGTTCAATGGCGTTCTTAGGGCACGTGGTGTCCAGTGAGGGTATTCAGGTTGATCCAAAGAAGATAGAGGCGGTTCAGAGTTGGCCCAGACCGTCTCAGCCATAGAGATTCGTAGCTTTCGTGGCTTGACGGGTTATTACCGTCGGTTCGTTCAGGGATTTTCATCTATTGCATCACCCTTGACCAAATTGACCCAAAAGGGTGTTCCTTTCAGGTGATCAGATGAGTGTGACGCGAGCTTTCAGAAGCTCAATACCGCCTTGACCACAACTCCAGTGTTAGTTCTGGCGTCAGCTTCAGGTTCTTATACGGTATATTGTAATGCTTCTTGGGTCGGCATTGGGTGTGTGTTGATGCAGGATGGTGGAGTGATTGCTTATGCTTCTCGCCAGTTGAAGCCCCATGGGAAGAACTACCTCGTTCATGATTTGTAGTTGGCTTCCATTGTTCACGCGTTGAAGATTTGGAGGCATTATCTCTATGGTGTGTCTTATGAGTTGTTTACTGATCATCGTAGCCTCCAGCACTTGTTCGAACAGAAGGATCTCAATTTGAGGCAGCGGAGATGGTTAGAGCTACAAAAGGACTATGATATTACTATTTTGTACCATTTGGGAAAGGCCAGTGATGGCCGATGCCTTGAGTAGGAAGGCGGTGAGTATGGGCAGTCTTACATTTATTACTGTCGGGGAGAGACCTCTGGCGGTTGATGTTCAGGGATTAGCCAATCACTTTGTAAGGTTGGATATTTGGGAGCCCAGTCGGATCCTAGCTTGTGTGGTTTCTCGATCTTCCTTGTTCGATCGCACCAGAGAGCGCCATTATGATGATCCTCATTTGCTTGTCCTCAAGGACAAGGTTCTGCACGATGATGCCAGAGATGTGTCTATTGGTGATGACAGGGTATTGAGGATGCAGGGCCGTCTAAGTGTGCCCGATGTAGATGGACATCGGGAGTTGATTCTAGAGGAGGCCCACAGCTCGCGATATTCCATCCATCCGGATGCTGCAAAGGTGTATCAGGATGTGAGGCAGCACTATTGGTGGAGGAGGATGAAGGAAGATATAGTTGGATTTGTAGCTCAGTGCCTCAATTGTCAGCAGGTGAAATATGAGCATCAGAGATCGGGTGGCTTGCTTCAGCAGATAGAGATTCCGGAGTGGAAGTGGGAGTGGATCAACATGGATTTCGTAGTTGGACTCCCACAGACTTTGAGGAAGTTCGATGCTATTTGGGCAATTTTGGATCGGCTGACCAAGTATGCTCACTTCATTCCTGTGTGTACTACCTATTCTTCAGAGCGGTTGGCTGAGATTTATATCAGAGAGATTGTTTGCCTGCATGGTATCCTAGTTTCCATCATTTCGGATAGAGGTACTCAGTTTACATTGCAGTTTTGGAGGATATGCAATGAGAGTTGGGTACTCAGGTTGAGTTGAGCACAACTTTTTACCCTCAGACGGATGGACAGTCCGAGCGTACTATTCAGATATTGGAAGACATCTTGCGTGCTTGTGTCATTGATTTCGGGGGTTCGTGGGGCCAGTTTCTACCGCTCGCGGAGTTTGCTTACAACAACAGTTATCAGTCAAGTATTCAGATGGCTCTATATGAGGCTTTATATGGGAGATGATGTAGTCTCCAGTAGGTTGGTTTGAGCTGGGTGATGCTAGGCTTTTGTGTACAGACGTGGTACATGATGCTTTGTACAAGGTGAAAGTGATTCAGGAGCGGCTTCATACAGCTCAGTCAAGACAAAAGAGTTATGCTGACAGAAAGGTTCGCGATGTGTCTTATATGGTTGGGGAGAAGGTTCTACTGAAGGTTTCGCCCATGAAGAGTGTAATGAGATTTGGGAAGAAGGCCAAGTTGAGCCCTCGGTTCATTGGGCCTTTTGAGGTGCTTCGGAGGATTGGGGAGGTGGTTTATGAGCTTGCTTTGCCACCTAGCTTGTTGGGTGTGCATCCATTATTTCATGTTTCTATGCTCCGAAAGTATATCGACGATCCGTATCTTGTCTTGGATTTCAGCAAGGTTCAGTTAGACGGTGATTTGACTTATGATGTGGAGCCAGTGGCTATTATGGAGCGGCAGGTCCGAAAGTTGAGATCAAAGGATATAGCTTCAGTGAAAGTGCAGTGGAGAGGTCAGTCAGTGGAGGAGGCTCCTTAGGAGACCGAGCGGGAGATGCTGAGCAGATATCCACACCTATTTGAGGCTTAAGGTATGTTTCTACTTCCGTTCGAGGACGAACATTCGTTTAAGAGGGGGAGGATGTAATGACCCGGCCGGTCGTTTCGAGAGTTATAGCGTCGTTTCCCCATTTATGCTTCTTTTTGTGTTCTTTAGCTATATTATGATATGTTGGGTCAGTTGGTTCGGGTCTGGAGTGGATTCGGAGAGGATTTGAGACACTTTGTCTCTTTTGTGAAGGCTCAAGTTTGAAAGGTTGAACGGATGTTGAATTATGTGTAAACGATCTCGGATGTGAATTCTGATGGTTCCGTTAGCTTCGTTAGGTGATTTTGGACTTAGGAGTGCGTCCGGAATGTGATTTGGAGGTCCGTGGTAGAATTAGGCTTGAATTGGCAAAAGTTGGAAATTTGGCAATTTTAGTCGATAGTGGAAAATTTGATATCGGGGTCAGAATGGAATTTTTGAAGTTAGAGTAGGTCTGTAGTGTCATTTGTGACGTCTTTGCAAAACTTCAGGTCTTTCGGAGGTGATTTTATAGGTTTCAGCGTCGTTTCCGGAAACCGCACCTGAGGAGGAGGGACCGCAGGTGCGAGCCTGCAGAAGCGGAAAAGCAGCCGCTGAAGCGGCCAAGGCTGAGGAGGGCAGGAGCCGAGGTGTGAATAGTGGACCGCACCTGCGAGGACGCATGTGCGAGAATTGAACCACAGAAGCAGGTTCTGAGGGCATAAATGGGAACTGCACCTGCAATGGATTTTCCGCTGGTGCGGCGTCGCAGAAGTGACATCTTGACCGCAGATGCGGAAGTCTTGGACAGAAAGTATATATATTGGACTTCGCAAATTTTAGTTCATTTCCCATCATTTTTAGTCGGCTTTGGAGCTTTTGAGAGCGATTTTGAGGAGGAATTCAGGGGTTTATCAATAAGGTAAGTGGCTTGAGCCCTAATACTCGTGTATGTGATGAATTCCCGTTGTTTAATCATGTAATTAGTGAAGATTAGGGGTGAAAATGAAGGGTTAGGGCTTGTGATTTTTGGAGAATTTGATTGAGGTTTTGAGGGGTCAAATGGAGTCGGATTTTGATAATTCTTGTATGTATCGACTCGTGAGTGAAAGAGCTTTCTAGTTTGTGATTTTTGTTGGATTCCGAGACGTGGGCCCGGGGGCCGAGTTTGGGTGAATTCCGGATTTTGGTCTAAATTGATAGTTTTTCGTGTGGAATTGGTTTCTTGGCCTATATTGATTGCATTGCATTGCTTTTGGTTAGATTCGGGATGTTTGGAGGCCGGTTCGAGAGGCAAGGGCGTCGCGCAGAAGGATTTTAGGCTTGATTGAGGTAAGTAACGCTTCCAAACTTGGTTCTGAGGGTTCGAAACCCCGAACTATGTGTTATGTGATTAGTACTCAGGTAATGCAAAATTCCAAGAGACAGGCGTGCGGGCATGCACCGTGAGAATTGTGGCCTCGTTCATTCCATGGCACCGCTTAGTGACTCTTTCTTGCTGATATCCGTGTTTCTATCATGTGATTAAGTAAATGTGCTATAAATCATGCTAGATATCCTGTTAGGGCTTCACGCCGATACTGTTAAGACCCGAGTGGTCGTTTCTTGCTGTCATTTCATTAGATTCATTGATATTCTGTATTCATGCATATCATATCATGTCTCAGACTCAGTTGTTATTATTTGGCACATCATATCATTGTTTCGGGCTAGTTTCATGGCATTGTGAGCCGTGTGTGTGAGACTGGAGAGTGATGACTTAGTGAGGCCGAGAGCCTGATTATGAGTGATAGTTATGGGATCGGGCTATACGCCGCATCGGTTATGTTGATGATTATGATAGCGCTTGGGCTGTAGAAGCCCCTCCGGAGTCTGTAACACACCCCCAGTGAGCGCAGATGATATTTTGAGGGATGTATACCCTAGACATGGATTTGTTAGAAGTATTGATATCTGGAGATAAATTTCTCCACAGGGTTGGATACCCTTTTCATCGGTACTGAGTGACTTATAGTTAGTGATGAGTATGTTCTGGGATGGATTTCCCTGGGCCGGATGGCCATATGCGGTACCGAGTAGTTGAGTGTGTGTGTATATATATATATCTGGAGATGGATTTCTCCTCAAGGTTGGATTACCCTTGTTCCTCGGACTGATTGACTTACAGTCAGTGTTGTATATGTTACAGGATGGTTTTCCTTGGGTCGGATGGCCGTATGTAGTATCGAGTGGTCGAGCACTTGAGAGTGGGAGCACATGGTGCATTTCATACATTCTGTGCATTGGCAAGTAGAGTTAGCTGAGCTTTATATCACACATTGTTCAGATCTGTATTTATTTTATTGATTGAGCTGTATTCACCTTCTCCAAAGCATCATGAACCATATCAGTGCCCAACAACCTAGCCTCCGCAGGCTCAAACCAGCCTACTGGAGAAGGCCATCCGGATACTCGACATTGCCTCCCATATAGGGCCTCATATAGATCCATCTGGATGCTCGACTGATAGCTGTTGTTGTAGGCAAACTCTACTGGCGGATAAAACGGATCCCACTGATCCCCAAAATCAATGACACGGGCTCGTAAAATATCCTACAAGATCTAAATAGTATGCTCAGATTGCCCATCTGTATGTGGATGAAATGTCGTACTCAACTCAACCTGTGTGCCCAACTCACGCTGCACCGTTATCAAAAAATGCAATGTGAACTGGGGGCCTCGATCCGAGATAATAATCATTGTAACACTACGTAGGCAAACGTTCTCTCAAAGAGCTAGCTGCTCTAAAGAGTAGGTAGTCATAACTGGAATGAAGTGTGCAGACTTGGTCAGTCCATCCACTATGAGGCATATATGGTCATATCACCTCAAGGTCCGTGGTAGCCTAACCACAAAATCCATGGTGATACGCTCCCGCTTCCACTCCGGAATATCTAGCCTCTGAAGCAAACCACCTAGTCTCTGATGCTCATATTTAACCTGTTGATAGTTCAATAACCGTTCCACATAATCAACAATATCTTTCTTCTTTATTACAATAACTTTCTTCATTCTTATCCACCAGTAGTGCTGCTTCAAAGTATGATACATCTTCGCGGTGCCCGGATGAATGGAATATCGTAAAGTATGGGCCTTCTTAAGAATCATCTCCGACAACCCATTCATAGTATGCATACAAATCCGTCCTTGAAGCCTGAATACCCCATCATCAGCAATAGTCACCTTCTTAGTATTACCGTGCTGCATCGTGTACTTAGGGACAAGCAAGTGGGGATTATCATACTGACACGCCTTGATGTGATAAAAAAAAGACGACTGTGATAAAACGCAAATAAGAAATGTGCTAGGCTCCAAAACATCCAACCTCAAGGACCTGCTGGCCAAATGCTAAACATCCAAAGCTAACAGCCTCTTCTTAACTGGAATAAAAGTAAGACTCCCCATGCTCTCAGCCTTCCTACTCAAAGCATCGACCATCACGTAGGCCTTCTTTGAGTGATAAAGAATGGTGATATCATAGTCCTTTAGAAGCTCTAACCACCTCTGTTGCCTCAAGTTCAAGTTCTTTTGTTTGAATAAGTGTTGTAGACTCCTGTGATCCGCAAACACCTCATAAGACATGTTGTAAAGATAGTGCCTCCAAATCTTGAGCGCATGAACATTGACTACTAACTTAAGTCGTGCACCGGGTAGTTCTTCACATGGGGCTTCAACTGACGTGAAGCTTAAGCAATCACTCTACCATCAAGCATAAATACACACCCAATGCCAACCCATGAAGCATCACAACAGACTTTATATGAATCTGATGCTAAAGGCAAAACCAGAGCTGAAGTTGTAGTCAAGGAAGTCTTGAGCTTCTGAAAGCTCTCCTCACACTCGTCACACCACTCGAATGGGGCATCCTTCTAAGTTAATCAAGGCAAGGTAGATGTGATGGATGAAAAACTCTCCACGAAGTGGCGATAATACCAAGCCAAACCTAGAAAACTCCGAATTTCAGTAGTAGTAGAAGGTCGGGCCAACTTTGAACTACCTCAATATTTTTTGGGTTCACCTTAATCCCTCACTCGACACCACATGACCCCTGAATGCCACCGAGTCTAACCAAAATTCACACTTGGATAATTTATCATATAACTTCTTCCCCCTCAAAGTCTGGAGCACGATCCTCAAGTGCTGTTCATGCTCCTCTCGGCCGCAAGAATAAACCAGTATATTATCAATAAATACAATGACAAAAGAATACATATACGGCTGAAGCACGTTGTTCATCAAGTGCATGAAAGTTGATGGGGCATTGGTCGCCCCAAAAGATATCACCAAGAACTCATAATGACCATAACTAGTCTCGGAGACCCTCTTAGGAGTATCTAAAACTCTGATATTTAGCTGATGGTATCTTGATCTCAAATAAATCTTCGAGAATACCCTGGCCCCCTGAAGCTGATCAAATAAATCATCAATACGTGGTAGTGGGTATTTGTTCTTGATAGTACCTTGTTCAACTGCCTACAGTCAATGCACATCCTCATAGAGCCGTCTTTTTTCTTCAGAAATAGAAATGGAGCACCCCAAGGTGCAATAATAGGTCTGATGAAACCTTTATCAAGCAACTTCTTAAGTTGTTCCTTCAATTCTTTCAACTTCGCTAGTTCCATGCGATATGGTGGAACAGAGATGGGCTAAGTGTCCGGCACCAGATCAATACCAAAATCAATATTTGTGTAGGGCGGCATGCTTGACAGGTCTGTAGGAAACACATCTGAGAACTCCCTCACTACTAGAATTGACTCAACAATGGGAATACAAGCACCAACATCTCTCACAAAGGTTAAGTACGAAAAAACACCCCTTCTCAACCATCTGTTGAGCATTCAGAAAAGACACAACCCTACTAGGATTGTGACCCAATGAACCTCTCCACTCCAATCACGGAAACCCCGAAAAAGCCAATGTCACAGTCTTAGAGTGACAATGAAGAATATATCATGCTATCGTGACAACCAATCTATCACGACCCAAACCGAAGGGCTGCTATGAGCACCCATGCCTTACTTGCCGAGCACCAACGCAATGTATCCTTAACCATACCATCATGCCTAAGTGGGCCAGAAGGGCCGTCATGCGATAACCTGAACATAACATAAAGAATACTCGACAAAGGACAACTCCAAAATGATATACATGAGATATACTGCCCTACAAGGCCGAACAAAATATTTATACACATAAAATCTGTCCACAATCCTCTAAGGAGTACACAAACATCATAAGGTCGGGACAAGGCCCCGCCATACCTATAACATATGTACATAAGTGTACTGACTCCACAAAGCAACTCCGGAGCAAATGGAGTGCAACAATACCTTCCGCTGAGCTGGTAACCTACTAGGAGGACTGTCAACCTGTCTATTCGGACCTATGAGCATGAACCACAGCATCCCCATGGAAAAGGGATGCTAGTACAAATAATGTACCGAGTATGAAGGCAGGAAAGTATAAATATGAATAGTAATGCACAGAAAGATAGAGAAGATACAACCTATAACATCTGAGTGCCTCTAAGGGCGTCTGACATGAAATTCATGACACATTTATATATGCATATCCTTTTAAAAACATGCGCCTCTATGGGTATCATCATCATCATCATATCGTACCCATCAGTAATAGGCTCGGTAAAAAAGTACCCGGCCACATGGAGCTCAGTAAATACCAACTGACCAGTGCTTGCACAATAGGTGCCGTACCAGGCCGAATATAGTGTGGCTCGGTAGAGTAAATTAGGTACATATATATAATGCATGCTGGATCACGGAATCGCATTCTGAACCATTCGAAGTGACGTAAGGTTGTTGCACCTTCGATTAGTGTTATGGAGATCCATACCATCAATATGAACCTCAATAGGATTCAAGGATCGTATATACATGCTTAGAATAACATTAAAAGGAATGAACAACATGGAAAGTCTTAGTTGCTAGGAGTAGATCCGTTATGAAACAACGTATCATTTATGTTCGTTTCACTTTAGATCATACCAAAATAAAGAAGGAAGTGCCGTAACATACCTTATACCAAATCCTTATGTATTGACTCGAGCTTATCCTCCATTTCTCTAAATCTATGATAAACAATAAGGACACAAATGCTACCATAATGAACTTAACAACTTTTATCGAGCGACAAAATCATTCTATAAGAAATTGGACAACATCTCCCCTTAATTTATTCACTTCCCCAAATCTAAACATCAACAACAACACACACAACAACCCACAATATATCCTCAGTAAAATACCAAGCTCAAACAATCAACAACAACATACTTTTGATTTCCAAAAAATTACACCTATATCACTTATTTCCAATTCAAACTAATGATAAAAACAATAATAACAGCATCAACAACAACATATCCAAGCTACTACATCAAGAACTAGCCAAAACCTAGCTCAAAATCCTTCCAAAATAGTCCCATATGCACAACACCTCAAACGTACTTCCAACTTCAAGTTTAACATGTTTTCCTTCAACATCTAGGCTTTCGATGGCCTAAAAATGACTCAACCTAATTTACAGAGCTTACTTCGTTGCTACATCTTCCCCAATCACCCACAAAGAGAGGAAGAGGAAAACTATTGACTAGTTTGGGTTCCTTAGGCTTGAATCCACTTGTTTCACCTTCTCCACCTTTGATTTGGATTCCAAATTCTAAGGATATGTTTAGGAGGTCTAGAGAGAGCTTTAGGTCTCATTTGGGTCGAAAATGAGGCTTGGAGATGAAGTCCACCACTTTATATAACAAGATAAGTCTCAACCGACTTTGTTGGTCCCAAAGAGAGCTTCTTGTGTAATCTAGCAAAAATGCAAATATCTCTCTACTCTCATATTTTATCACTGAACAGTTTAATACATTGAAAACTAGAATTGTATACCTTCAAGTTGGTGGGTGGTTCACCCTGTAACTCTAAGTATATTAGGAGAAAAGAGCACCAACATTAGACCCAAAATTTGATAAAATGTATGAAGATAACTTGTGACGACTTTCTCTACTTTTGTTTCACAACTCCCTTGACTTCAAAACATGACACACGACTATCATATTTCTAAAATACCTCATAATGTCACCTTCTTATCATGTTAATCACCCTAGTCTCACCCCAAAAGTACGAGTTATAACATTTCCAGCTTGCCGACTTTCGACGAAACTGATTTTCTTCGATTCGTTTAGCTTCTAAATCCTCCGACCCTCACGATACTTTATTAAAACTTATTTTAGCTCATTATTATCTTTGAAAAGATCCTTCAACTCTCTAGCTCATATTGATTTGCTTATGACAAATACTAACATGAAAGTACAAGATAGAACATCCTTCCCCCCAATTTGGAATATTCGTCCTCGAAACTAGCTCTTATGGATTTTACGAAAATTTTAATGGAGTCTCCTCTGCAAATAGAACTATCCTATACCTTGTGTCGAAATAATTCTGCTCCTAAAAATGCTGTAACACTTCAATTCTAAATATCATTTAGTCATAAAATGTGTGTTAATCAAATTACATAACATGGGCTAAGATAGCACACGATCGAGGTACAACTATTAAGAATCTTCTATCGGAAATAGATGAGAGTACTTAGAATTCGTTTCTTCTTCATCTTCCCACATCTTACCTTCGACACTCTTATTCCTCCACGATATCTTTATGGAATTTATTTTCTTGTTCCCCCACTTGCGGACGTGCTGATCTAAATTAGCAGCCAGAATCTCTTTGTAATATAGGTTATCTGTAATCTGAACCTCATGTTCTTCTGCAACATAGATTCCTGATTCATTTATAGCTGCTGGAATCTTCTCATAAGGTTGACCCTCTATTATTTGTATAACATTTAATGCATTTCTTCAACATTGGAACATGATAACCAGATGAACGGATCATAATACTGAGGGAAAATTCAATTAATATCTTCTCTAGGTAGTTTTGACGTGGCTATAAGTCTTAATTAGCTTGTCCCATTATTTTATTACGCTCTTCGTGAGCGAAATATTCAAGAAAACCTCATTATTAACTCGAGATTTTCTTAAGTCTCATCGTCGCGTGTTGGGGTTCGATTTGTGACACTTCTAAGCATAAACACTCTTGAATTAGGCTGACTTTTCTATAACTTCATGCGTTAAATGAGGTCGAACACTTCTATCTTTGAAACTTTCTTATGGGAAATCTATATTTCCTTCTGCATGA